CTACCCCTTAAAATCCTGATTGGTATATACTTAGAGGTAAAAGAAAAGAATAACATTTAATAAAACATAAACGTAGCAATGTTTTTATTTTTAAAAGTATTTGAACTCCAGTGAATCTCCATTTAACACAACACAATTTTACAAGTTACGTTCTACGTTGGGACAAGAGTTTTCATATTTGCATATTCATATTGTATTTTTGCCCCAAGCGCGAGGCCCCTTCAACTCATTCGCGCGCCGCGGCCGTACGTTCGGGCAAACAGCTTTATTGAAACTGAAACTTGTCCGTCACAGCCTAGCACATATGCTCGTGAAACCAGGCTTAAGCGTGGGGCCCAGTGCAACTCTGAGGAAAAGTCCCTTAGGTTCAGGAATTTCGTTCCTAGTAATGCCTTAAAATGCACCTAACAATAACCTTAAATATAGGATAACGAAAATAAAAATAAAGCTGTCACAAAAGAAGGCCATTTGGTAAGTGTCTGATAAATTTTTGAAATTATTAATAAAAACTACTGTGCAAGGAGGCCCCTGTAGGGGCCCCCTTGGCCCAGGGGCCCCGGGCGCTCGCCCCCTCCGCCCATAGGTAAGTCCGGCCCTGAATAAAATACACGTTTAAATCACGCAAATTTCTGAAAGAAATAGTGAACTGAAATTACAGGATCAATAAAACCACACCTTAAGATAAATAACCATTTCAAGGGAAACCCCAGCACAGGAACACAAGTAAACGCAACATCATAAAATAAAGTCCCTGAATCACTTGACATCAGTATCAACGAAGAGCGAAAGTTTGCCAAACGAGGGTCCTTGCCCGTGGGCATCACTAACTGAGAGGCGTTACTGCAATAAAATGGCGGGAAGTTGGCAAAACCGCGACAAGCTTCCCGGAGAGCAACCTCGAATCAAGGTGGCAGTGGGACGAAGTACTAAGGGGGGGGGGGGTGGATCACAACAATACATGACCTGTACACAGGCGTAACTAGGTGTCATGCATCACATTACTTTGTTAAGTAGCTTTATATACAGGGTGTCCCAAGAAGAGGTTAAACTTTTGATTTTATATTTCTTGCACATTTTTTGACCGAACATTTTTAAACTTTTAACAATTTATAAAGTAGGTTTACAAAATATTTTGAGAAAACTACAACCCCCTAACCCTTTTAAGAACAACAGTGTCATATTAAATGTTATAATAACTAATATTATTTAAATTCATTAATTTAATAAATTAATTACATTAATTTATAATTATTGATTAACTGGTGATGGATCAGAGATTGAATAATTTTGAACTTATCTTTTGGGTTTTTCATTAGGCTATGTTCTAGTTCCTTGATGAAAACGCCTTATTTCCTTAGAATGTGACAATAAAAAGCACAAAAACACTGTTTTTACGTTTTAAAGGTATTATTTTTTTTCAATATGCCATGATTTAGTTTTTACAAGAGTAATAACGCTGAAATGGACCCAGAATATTAAAAAAAATCCATTAATAAAAATTGTGCATAGTTTCTGCAAATGTTCTGTGCATTGATGGGAAAGTTATATAAAATCAAACGTTTATACCTCTTCCAGTGACATTCTGTACATGAATTATTAACCGTTCAGTAATTAAGGCATATATACTGCATTTATCGTTTTGGACATTCCTCGGATCTTTGTGCAATGATCTTGTAAATTGTGGAATATAACTAACGTTTATACTTACGTTGCCAAAATCAAATTACGACCAAAAAGGCTACAAACGTAAGAAGAACTAAAAACATTTAAAATGAAGACTCAAATTTGTTACGCGCAGATCTAATGATGGAAATGCAGCGGTCAACAATCATCTCATTCAGAGTTTTTAGTTGTTTGTGAAATCAACGCTGAATATTAAATGATGAATCCAGAACAATAAACGTAACAGTTACTGAGTAGCTTAAAACCCATAGTTTGTAAATGATTGGAATTTGTTAAATTAATAAGTAAAATTTTACGGTAGGACCTCAATACACTCTTCAAACTCTTTTTCAAACTCTCAACTGTCTAGTCTATCATAAAACAAGAACAACTATTTAAAGGAAAAAACACAAAGTAGTCTTACAGCTTCTATCTAAACTATTCATCATGCTTTTCATCATAATGTCTTTAAAAACAGAACGTTAACAACCTTAAACGCCTTTCAAAGCAATAAAACGGTTTTAAAACAGAAGTTATAATAAATTTCAATTTCGAAAAGTTTTCAGCTCGTTGGAACATTGTTGCAAATTAAACTGAAAAGCAATTAAACGCAAGTTAGAGCATTGGCGATGAGTTGTGCCTCAGGGAATCGAAAAACTTTTGATAAAAGGTTCGACGCTTGTCAAATAAAAGAGATTGGTGCTTTCAGCCTTAACATCAAGTATGCCACTGTTAGTTTAACCCACTCATTATTTATTGTTAGTTTTTGCCACTCATTATTTATACATCTTTAAGTCTATTGAACAAAAAAAACTACTATTTATTAACCTAAATATGTTGTTAGCAATTATTATAATAAATACGGCACATTATTATTGTTTACCTATAAATCAAATTGTTCCCAATACGTAGTTATCTAAAGGATTTCCCACTAAACCACTGATTCAACTGGAACTAATAGTTGATTGGTTTTGCATTGTTTGTGCATCATTGAATCATGCATTTGTGTGTTAATCGATGTAGAAGGCTGAAATAAAATATGGTATTGTACGTAAAACACGATTCTTTCCATTAATACCCCGGGATGCATTAGCTTTAATAAAATGGAGTAACTTAATATTATGTGTTGTTTGCTACTTACTCAATCGTAGCTGTTTTTGCTACGGGGAGTAAATTTAATTTGATCACGATGGGTTTTTGCCGTTACCTTTAGTCAAGATAAAGATTGTTTTCAAACACCAAATATACCTTTGAGCTACAAAAATCTTTAATATCTTAAAATTTAACAAGTAGGCCTACTACAAAATCATTCAAGTTGCCTTGAATGTAAAATACAGTAAAACAAATAATATATTTATTAATTATGAAAGAATGAAAACAATTTTAGCACGAATTTATTTGTTGTATTGAAATATTTTTGGTTGATATATTTAACATTAGGTCCGTATTAGCAATTTGGAAAATTTCTTAGAAACATTGAACATATTACAATATTGGGGGTAATTAATATTAAATCTTTAAACTAGACATTACATGTATTAAGGTATACGTCTAGCATAGTTGGTTATAAAGCCAAAAAATAGCAATAAATGAAAAAATAACGTGTATCAATGTTTAAGATAAAAGTATTTTTCTTTTATATTTAAGATATTTTTGTAACCAGTCAATGGTATAACGATCAAAAGGTAATCATGGGGGAAATGAGACTTGCTTTAATCACTTGATAAAGCAACTGCTTACAGTAGACTAAGTTTCTGATACGATCAGATTCATATAACTTTCGCCTTTGAGCTATGATGACATCATGATGTTATTGTAGCTTGAAATAATTTGTATTGGTTTAAGTTATTATAATAACTGTTGCTATCGCCAGGTTAGTTTATGAACCATATTTTTACTACTGTACGGGTGTACTTTTTGAAGGTTTTGAACTCTTTTCATCACTGATACAAAAACAGTCATTATTGCAATTGTAACAGCAATGTTTTATTTCCTAATTCAAAATTTAAACAGAATGTCAACATTGATTGATACGTATTAAAACTAATTGCGATTGTTACCAGATCTGCTTCTCGATCATTAGCATATTGTTTACTACATGTACCTATGTTTTAGCATTACAATTGTTCTTAAACCGAAAGAATACTCTCAGAACAAGCGTTTAAGATTTTTTTGTTTAGTAAAAAAAGTTAACAATTTTACAAAATTAACAACACTTTTTGGGTGAAGTTAAAATTCTGAAATAAATAAAAACTGTTTCATTGACCATCCATATTGTGCAAATTTTCAAATTCAGAAGAGGGGTTTTGATACTCTAAAACACTTTTTAGATTACGACTATCATAAAATATTTTTTTTTAGAGCCAAAGATATTTATATTATTTATATGGATTCAGCATTTTTCTAAATAGCTCAGTTACTTTTCTGCTGATCTCTAAACTTGAGTGTATAAGATTTTTGACAGTATGAGGTATTGGTACAGTATCGACAATAATTCATCGTGTCTTGACGAAGATTAAGTTTCGAGTCCAAAAGCCTATATTGGGTATTAGGTGTCTTCAGTTTGTTTAAAATTATCATATTTTTTAATTATAAGTAGGCCTAACACTTAACATGCTACTTCCTTGTCTAATGACACTTTTTTCATGGATTTCACACTTATTGAACATTAGGTTCAAGCGTAAACATGTTAAGAACATTTAATGATCTTTTGCATTGTCTTTAGATTTTTGCAAATGAATGCAGAGAATGTTTTTGATTACTTTGTATCTTTGTAAATTGTTAAATGTCTATTTTTTACGATGCATACATCAAATAGTTTATTTGTAGGTTAAAGATAGAATGTACACGGCAATATGTAAAAGTAACTTAAAATTTTTATAATAATGTTATCGACAAAACAAAATAATACGAGTATTTAATATTCAGATTTTAAATAGTATTTTAAACAGGAGTTATGATATTGGATAAAATTAACAAATTAAAGCGCAGTAAAATGTTCAAACACACAATAGTTTACCCTACGAATTTACATTTACACTAAACCACACTTGTATTCCATACAAACACTACTCACAATCCAGGATAAGTTAAGCAATTGAGTAACCTGGAAAACATCCACGTTCCAGGAAAATTGTCCGTTTGTCCGTAAAATTGACGTATTGTATGACGGGATTCCCTAGGAAATTGGCTGCGATGACAGCGAGAGAAGAAGAGGAAGAGATATAGAACGGGTCAGCTGTAATTTGGCCTCAAGGATTTATGACCTTGCAACAATACGATCAGCTGTTTGAGCGCGTGCGCGTGTGTGCGGCGACGCCGCGCGGCTCGTAGGTGTCATTCAGTGTCCGTCAGTTCGCGAGTGAACATCGGGAATCATAGAGAGGACATAGAAAATATCGGTAAGTGATAACATGCAAGGGCTACTGATAGGACCGAAACAGCTTTAGTATTAAGGAAAAGATTATCTGAATAGATCGTGGTTTAAATCATAACATTACAAATAAATGAAATTTTACCGTGACAATGCTGCTTGGTGGCATGCCGGTTTGTATAAGGGATGTAATACATTTTATAATATTGTTTAAAAAAATTTTCAATAGTATATTCAAATATATATGTTGAAATTGGTTACGCAGTTATGATATTTGATAAACTCTTGCCTTTAGTATGATTATATTTTGCAAACATATTTCCCTAGCTTATATATCGTGTAGGCCTATAATGTTTTCGCTCGCTTAAAAAAAAAAATTGATAATGAATATTTTGAATGCGTATAGTAGTGTGAGTGTTTGCATATTGACTCATAATCTTTTTTTTATGAACGAAGAAAAGTGTTAAGGGTTTTTAAACATAAAAGTATTTACTTATAAGTAATACAAGGTGTGAGTACGTACAACAACATGTCCAACGTTAGCTTATAATTATCATTTGTTTTGTTGTTTGGTTCTTCGTAAATACAGTAGTTTAAAAGTTACAAGAAATGAAACAGTCAATGAAATACCAACTTCGAGCAAAATATACATATATTTGCACTCGTGAATACGGGAAATAAATTTTAGATAGTAATTTGAATTGGGTGATCGGTATTTTAACCATAATGCGCATGAAATTTCTCTGTTTTTATATATACAGCTATAATAATATTCTGCTGCCTAATTTACTTTTACCCTATGTAGAATCAAGGGTCAATACTTCATAAATATATAAAACATTTCACACCATGTTTATATTATTTGTATATACTATTAACGGCATAGTAAACCAGCCTGCTAAATGGAAAAAAAACTCTACCTGAATGTAAAAGTTTTGGAGTCATATAAATAAATAGGTAGTTATTAATTATAAGAGCACCAGTAAAATTATTAATTGCAAAATCGTTTAAAAAAGCGACCCATCCTTAAGTTAATATAAGGCAGTATTCTACAAAGATTCTACTATGCAATGTTTACCCTGAATATTTACCACCCATAATCTTTCTCTTCTAGAACCTCAGAATGATGGTCAAATCGGTGGGTATAAGAAGTCAGTAAAAACTATTCCTGTAACAGTGTGAACAACGTTTCATTGTTTCATCTATATAGGAGTATAATGTTTTTTCTACCAAATACAAGAAATAGTTCACATTATAATGAGAACATATTTAGATGTATATATTTTACCCTACATTCAACAAATGTAAATCGTTTCAATTAGTTTAAGTTTGCAAAGTTATAAAAAAATATTTAATTTTATTTATGTGTCATGTTATGTGTTTCAATGCATTGTGACCATTGCCTTCTGGCGTCGGGCTAGATTGTCAATAATTGCTTAACCAGACGGTAATTTATATTTCAATAATCATACTATATAGGCCAAAAATAAAGTCAACCATCTATAAAATGTAAAATACATTAAACTGTAATAAACTTCAGGATAAACTGACATTCTAGCTTGTTTTGGGGTTACAAAAATACTATAGGTTATTAGTATAACAATTTAAATAGATTATATGAATTTGTTATTATTCTATACAATTTCTGCAGTTCACCAATAAGCATTTTCAGTCAATCGTCATCGTTATTTAATGTCGAATATATTAAAAGATGAACATACAAATACTATCTTTATATCACAAAACTCCCTTTAACCATTTAATTAGCTAATTAAACGATAAAGAAGGAGGAAAACAACTGAGTAACAGCAGTTGAGTCAACACTTGGGTAGACGGGAGAGAAAAGCTACAATTGGCGGGGGACAAAGCGTACTTGTCGAACATTATATCAATGTCCTATTGGAACTTTACATTTTATACACAGGCGAAAGATAATACTTGAAAATATGTTTACAAGATTCCGAGAAAAGAACCAGTTGTTCGAGTAATCACTGAACAAAATTTGTTTGTTATACTACATGAAACACTCAAAACATGTATTGGCTGGGTTACATTGCACTACTAAGTAAATAGTAACTACTCCCGTATTGCACAACGGTAGGTTTAAGAAGCCTTTATTATTTAACAAAAGTTGAACATTTCCGGCTAAAATATTACGGCCGACATCTAAGTAATCTAAGTCTACGTGTTCGTAAGATTTTGTTGTTGTTTTATTAACTTATCAGTTTTCGATTTGCTGTAGATAAAAAATGAGCTGACGTTAAATATTTTACAATTTATTTAGAAAACGACGGGTGGTTTGATAATATCATAGATAAAACATACTACTGTCTGTGATGATATTGTTACTTTCTTGCTCTATACCGGTACCATATTACATGGACAAAGTATTGTTTTCGTCCCCCTGAACCCAAAAAAGAGGTTTCCGAAGTGATGTTTGTGTGTGTAGGTGTGACTATAGCTATTGCACCATTTACGATTTTCTCCATAAAACCCACAAAAACTATTATAGGTTGTTTTATTTAAAATCGGTTAATAACATACTGGATACGTGAATGTGGTTGGTGTAAAATCGACAACTGCGAAAACAGCCGATTTAGCGTGTGTGAATGTTTATTCCCACTTTAGAGCGGAAATGTGCTATTTTGCGTACTGTTTTCACGTGTTACAATCTGATAATTTTAATGCAGTGATAGGTCAAAAATATTATAGCTACTCCCACCGACTACCCATGATACAGGTTGTTGACAAACTAATGGAGAAACTATGTCAGATTGCTGATACCGTTTATTTAGCATAGTGACAGAGACCTCGATAAGAAAATATTTCAAACGAACTAGGCCTAGTAAACAGAATTTAGTTCCCTAATGAGTATAAAATTCCCCTCCCACGAGGACGCTATATTTTTTTATGGTAAACTTACAATAACTGATTATGAAGGATTTGAACATCCGGATCACAAAATACCACATAGGCAACAACCATTGGCGATTCGTGAGATTCGAACCTCTAGGTCGAAAGTCCTTGTAATCAACGAAAAATATGTTTAAGACACTATCTCAGTTAGCAAGCACTTTTAAAACAAGATACAGTATAAACCAGCGTAATGTACCGTCGTAAAGAGATTAAAACTTGATAAACTGATATAATTTTCTTTTTATGAACCTATACAAGTGGAAATTTTCCGTAATAGTGAATACGTGCACAATCATAGTTAATAATTAATAGACTATGATTCATTTGAAAATTATTCTGTTGAATTATTGTCAAAGATAGTACTCTCTTGGTATAAACACGTACTTCTTGATAAACTGTGTTTGTTGAGAAACGTTATTGTGGAGCAGATAAGGTAAACGGGTTGACTCTAGAACTTAGTCACCAGCATTCGTTTACAAATGTCGGATAACTGCTATATTATATACTTCTAGTGGAATTAGAAATGGTCGGATTTCAGATTCCGAAACATTTCAATCACGCGCAATAAAATCTTTAAGCAACAATAACATAATCTGAAGAAAGGCTCACTTAAGTAAAAAACCAATATCAATATTTTAACGAAATTCAATGTCATGTTTGCAGATTTATCACATCAATTAAGCTTATACGCGGCATTGGAAACAAGTCCTTGAAATGGATTCCACCCTCTAGGTTTAATTCTGTTTACAAATGCAGTAATCAGTGATGTAAATGGCCGCGCTAATGCCCTGAAAGTTTGTGCAGCGTTGCAAAATTTAACTCAGTAGTCGTAGTGGTTGAGTCACTAATGTTGTTTCATGCGGCACCACCATTGGCATTAGCTGACACATACACACACAAACACCTACGGACACACACACACACACACTCACGGAACCTAGTCAACTGTAAACATGGTGTTGTCGTTTGTCAAACTTCCCAGAAACTGGCTAACTAATTTACCATTTAGCAACAGTTTTCCGAAGCCTCAAGTATTTGTTTACGGAAATTTGTATGTGATCATGTTACAGCCATTTTATTCTTAGATTTATTTTCAAATAGAGGGTTTTACTAAACGTCATTTTACAACTTGCTTCACTCAAGATAATTGTTCTTCTCAGTATTTTTAATATCTACAATCAACACCATAAGATTATAATTACACAAATCGAAACCTACCCTCTTTAACGACTTCATGACTTGCAAAGTTGTTTGGTCATCAAAGGAGTTAATCGAAATCAGGATCCCAAAGATTGGTCGATAATGAAGTAAGGTACCTGTAGTTGTAAGACCTGATACTAACATAGGTGAACTAGGTATAGAGTAGTTATAAAAATATGAAAATTTAGGAATGCACTTTTTGATCTTTTATACATATTACTGTACTATTGAATTTTGTTAAAATTATTATTTCGCCTATTGGGTCTGATGATGATTGGAGTGTCCAATCAAAATCGATCACCACTTACCATCTTTTTTGTATATTTACCGTCTTGTGAGTAACAGTATAAGCGTAAATATATGTTTTAAGTGTTATAAGACGTTTCTTTTATTTACTTTCCGTTAAAATTATATACTGTATATTGATACAGTTTTTATTTGTTATCAAACTTTCACATCATCATCATCATCAATATGCATTTACAGTATAAGCAAACATGTAGGTTAATCTGTTTTGACGAAACCCATAAAGTAGTGTCACCAGCAGAAGTAGCGCCATTGCAAGAGACAAGCTGCAATATACATTCAGGAGGATGTTTTATGCATAACCCAATATACACTGACTCGATGATGTCTGCTTTTGCATATCTATTCCCAACCGACTTTTTGAATTTATTCACTGAAAGTCGTTGTTTGTTTTCTTGATGATTTAATAGTCTTTTAAAAAGTAAAATAAACTTGCCTATTGAGTTTTGGAAGGTTTCTTGTAGAAAAATAAGGTGTGGAATTATTGGCAATTCTTTGTTTATATCGTGTTAAACAACATACTAAGAATTAAATGATTATCCATAAGTATTTTTTAATGGAATGGTGACATATTTTAATTTTTCTATTATAGTTTAACTGCAATCT